AAGGCTGATTTACTAAATTCACAAACTGCTGTTTTCTAAATTTAATTCGCACCACCGAAGAAGCCGACAAACTCCGAATTTTGTATACCATTAAAGAAAGCTCCGAAAAACACCCCGAATTCATTGTAAAAATATTGCAGTGGCTTAGCTCGGCTATGCCAGGATATACGTAGTGTAAGCTTAGGTTCAGCTGGTTATTCTTAGCTTTCATGGTTGTCTAGGATTAGCTTGATTATCATGCTTAGTGCTGCTTCAATGACACAGACGGTTTACGGATTATGTGACTACTTCGGGATCCGATGAGTTAAGCTTCTCCGCTCTTCTTATTGCGGAGGAGGCGCCGTGTAACCGAGCCTTCGGTTGCACGTCAAAAGATCCCCAGATGGTCCAAATTAATCCTCCGCTGGGGCGTGCCAGATGCCCGTCGTTGGTTTGGCCAGCTGTGCGCCGTGTTATGTATCAAGCAACCAAGCTGCCGCCTAGAACAACCGGACAGCGCGAGCCATGATCTCGAGCGGGTCCATGCGCGCGGCGCGTGCATCGGGGACTGACACGTGTGACGTCACTGCTCCTCGCGCATACGCAGCACGGCTCGCCAGAAGCCACGCGAAACTGCTCAGCCTCGGCCAGTGTAGCCTACGCTACAAAATAAACTCCGAAAAACACGCTCCGTTTCTATTCAAAAATGAATTCCGAAAACACAGTACGCTACCTATAATACGAGTCTATGCGCAGCCAAACCCCGGCGTAAAACAACGAACGCGAGGCGCGCGTGAGTCGCGCGCCTCGCTTCGGTTCAAAGCTGAGAAAAGTGAAGTCGACCGCCATCATTAGTTATCTCGACTGCATTTCGCTCAAGGTAGGTTGAGCGACACGAACACGCTCAGAAGTAAACATATTGCTTTGAGGTGAATGATCCAATGAGTGGTTTAATTAATGATGAGGTGTACTCTGACCAACGGGTTTGAATAAAACACAGATTTCATTGCTTCGGCAAGCTGCAGGTCGCCTCTTTAAGAGGTTTTTCAGGGGAGGCACTTACTTTTTTTATTTATTTGTTTAACTGACATACCCTCAGGGCCATCGGCATTACAGAGGTGAGCGGGAGTAAGGAGAGAACAGAACAAAGCTGTACACTTTGGAGCTCAGTCTGAGCTGTATAGATTATTTACGGCAATTTTATATAGTAAGTGGCAATTGTGGCAACAGATGTGGGAAGGTAGTTCCAGTCCACTGAAATTTTTGGGAATGGATGACTCTTGTTTTGGAATGTCTACTTTATATATATATGATGACATCCGTGACAAAATATTAGACGGGTGATTCAGCGGTCGGTTGTGAAGTATTGCGTTATTATGGTATCTCTTATGAAAGTGACATCATCGCGCTATTTTACGACGTAAAGTAAGGTAGGCAACGATAGGCTGGTTGCCATGGATCATAATTATTAAGATAAAACACACAGAACAATTTTGTACTGATCGAACGACGGTTTAGCCAGCGAAACCTGGCCCACGACGTTTCATCGAATGACACTTTAGCGAATGGCGGCGTTCATTTGACCGAATAGATAAAATGGAGGCCGCCGCCGTCCTGTTTTCGAGCTTGCCAACCTTTGGCGATGGACGCTCGAACTTGAGTTCATATTTTTCTCCAAACTATAGCAAAGCACCCCTTGCTATCGTTCCGAACAGACCGTCTGGCGCGGTCTGTTTGGATGCCCAGTTTGCCGCCCCTACAAATGCCTATAATAAACGTCGACTCGCGTATGTGATCTCTATTCGCTAAAATGTAATTCGCTAAAACGTCTTCGTTCATATAATATGGACTCGTATTAATGTTAGTCAGATGATTCACAAAAATCGTGCACGCAGGTTCGTGTCTGTCTCTCCTTTTTGCCCCCTCGGCGAGCGGTCGTTGGCAAAAATATAAGCGCCTTCTTTAAAAAAAAAAGAAAAAAAAAAGAGAAAAACCGTGCGCAACGAAAGTAAAAAAAAAAAAAAAAAGACAGGCCAGAAGATTTTGAGGTGGGGTCCCCTCCACAATCACAACGCCTAGTGCCACTAAATAAGCTACGCTTCAGAGTAACGACACTTGGCCATATTGTGGCTTAAAATCATGGTTGCCAGTTATCTGAAGCTTTATCTGAAATCACAGGAAATGCTTTTCCGCCCTCCACAAATGTTTAAAACGTTCGCGACAGAGCAAAGCAATATTACATTACCTTCCTAACACCGAATCTAATGCTGAGGAAGTCGCACTTTTGAATCATGACGATCGGCTGTTGCGTCTGTTCTGCATACGAGCCAAAATGGCGGCGCCCACAACAATGTCGGGGAACGGAGTGCCGATACTCTAAGCGCAGCTTATTTAGTGGCTCTAACAACGCCGACAACCAGGCGAAGTCTAGGGAGCCTTCATGTGCGCTTTGCTAGGGTGATGCCACCCTTTGTAATACCGCTCGCCGACAAAACAGCAGCCATTTTGGTTCTGGGCATCCGTGGGGCTTATAACTCTCCCGGAAACAAGCACCTTATCTCACAAGTTCGGAGCAGGGAAGTCAAGAAGCCGCTCGCTCTCCACAGCATGAGCGCACGACGAAGAAAGCGCGAAACAAAACGAAAATAAAAGAAACGGGACAACAAAACTAAAAGCCAGAGGGAACTAGCTAAACAAACAAAATGACAAGAGCAGGGTGCATCGCCCGGCCCAGCCCAATACCCCCCCCCCCCACACACACACACACACACACACACACACACACACACTGACACACACTGACACACACATCTGGAGCCGTCAGCGCCGCTGTGAAAGAACTTCGAGGATGGCTGAGAGCCGGAGGCAGTGGCGGTGGCCGCGGCTGCAGTAGCCGACGCCGCTTTCCGTGACCTCGGTGACTCGGTGAATGGCTGTGACTCGGTGAACGGCTGTGACTCGTTGAAGGGCCGTGAAGTCGAACCGGTCGAACGACTTCATGAACGGGATCAGTTCACGGACGTGAGGGGAACGACTTGCTGAACTCGGTGAGCTCGTGATGGGACGGTGAGTGACTTCGTGAATTCAGAGTTGGCGGTGATGGAATGGGGAATGCTTCATGAACTCTAAAGGATTTGTGATGTGACGGTGAAGTACTTCGTGAACTTGACGGATTCGTGAAGTGACGGTGAATGACTTTGTGAGTTCAGAGATTGCGGTGACGTGATGGGGATGAGTTTGTTGTCCGGTTGAACTCCGTGATGTGAATGGCCGTGACTTTTGGATGTCGGTGTACTTTGTGATGTGAAGGGCCGTGAATATTAGACATCGGTGTACTCTGTGATGTGAAGGGCTGCGACGTTTGGACGTCGGTGTACTTTGTGATGTGAATGGCCGTGACTTTTAGACGTCGGTGTACTCTGTGATGCGAAAGGCTGTGACTTTTGGACGTCAATGTACTTTGTGATGTGAAGGGCTGTGACTTTTGGATGTTGCTGTAATTAGTGATGTGATGGTGAGTGAGTGGGTTCGGAAATGCCGACCTATGACAAAGAACAGGCTCGACATCCACCTTAGGCAGCAACAAACTCCTTTGCCCAAAAGCCGTTTTCATTTCCGTTTTGATTTTTATGATCGAACATCCCAAGGCAGAGATGAAAGAACAGAGAACCCTTGCAGTCTGCCTTTTCGAAAAAGACGATCATGCACACATGCAGCACCCACAACTTGTGTATGCAAATGCATCAATCTGTGAACAATCAGTTAATGTATACAGTAATGACAGTGTGTATTGAATCCTACACGCATATTCACCAAGTTCGAAAAAACCAAATCTGGGGCTTAGAAAATCTCCCAGACAATGAATTCCCATGAAGACAAGTTCATTGCATTTTTATTGCATTGCTCAAACTAGCAAGATACGGTTGGGCCTTACTATCATTGCTGCTGTCTGTTATCACAGGCAGGATTAGCTATTTCGCCAACAATGGCGGCTGTCTTCGACCTGGCAGAAGCATAAATCTTTTTGCAATATCTGAAGTAGGAAATATCTTGTGGAGCAGGGGACTGCCGTGGTCAGTGGTGTCCAACGAAAGGTTGTGTTCTAGTAAAAATACAGTAAACAAGCACTCTGCACGAACGTCATTGTCACTGTCTTGTTTGCGAAAGAATTGTCTTATTTCTCTTGCTTCTGTGATTGGACGTCGGCGACAACATCATTCTTGCCTACATGGGAAACGCCTATATGGCAACTACAAACGATGCAGAACGCGTGATGTTTGCCCTCAGTGCAACTGAATTCAGTTATGTAATTCTTTAAAAATAATTGCAGATACCTTTTGCTTTCACACTTTTTGCTTAAAGCCGTGATTGGTAGGCCAAATAATGTCGAAGTGGCTGATGCTGAGGCATGCACTAGAGACAGAGAGAATAAAAGAGACAAAGAGAATCCATTCCAAGTCAAACTAGCCTGGATTGAATAAAGTCCCTAGATAAGATAGGATTAGATTTAATGCCGATATGGCCAGACAGAGAGCAGGGCTCGAATAAGAACATAGAGGCCCACTGAATTTTTTTCAGGCAGGCAAGTTTGTGCAGGGTACAGCCGGAAGCCAGTGCAGGGAACAGACTGGATACAACCGCTGCGTCAGCAATCGAATGGCACCCGTGTTCGATCGGGGAGGACCCGAGTTCCAGAGAAATGTTGTTGCGGCACTTGTATGAGTTTTCCCCATTACAGTAGAGCGTTACAGGGACTAGGAGCCGGCTAAAGCCAAATTTGGGGGTTTTATGTGCCAAACCAACAAGGGGGCATTTGGCCTGCCTTGATGGAGGGGATCTTTCGACGTGTAACCAAAGTCTTGGATAAACGGCGCCGTTTTCGTGAGAAGCCTCTGTCAGATTGCAGCCACCTCGATCAAGATTCGAATTTGCCAACTGGGGATCGGTACGCCAGCGCTTTACCTCTGAGCCAACCATATGATACACTCGGTGCTAAGACTATTGCTGAACGTTTACCGTACCTCTCTTCCGAGACTCTGCCTGGGCACAGACAGCGGTGTTGGCAGAAGCAGTACTGTCACCAGGGGCAGATGTTGTCGTTGCTTCTACCGACAAGTCGGGCACCCCGGTTGGAACATCTAACTTCAAGCGGGCTTTGTCCTCATTGCGACGGTCCCTGGTCGGGCAGGCGCAGACTTTGACGTCCATTGACAGGCGTCCCAACACGACGTCCCTGTAAATAAAAAAACACACCAAAACTATTAACGAGCTGCATGAGCCACTTTCGATTGCACGGTCATGACTAGGGTTACGTGTTTTCAAATAAATCTAAAAAAAACAAACAAAAAAAAACTAGCTGGTAAATTTTCCATCAATTTAAATTTATCCAGAAAATTCAAAATTTCGAGGTCACAGTGACAAAATAAACAAAAAAGACAAAGTTTTACAACTGAACTTTATAAGAGCACAAGGTCAGTGGTCCCGAGGAGATTCCACTTCAGTTTCCTTTGAATTCTAGAACTACCGACAAAAGGGGTTTGCCTTTTAGCACGTCGAGGTTCCTTCTGGACAAAGGGGGATGGTAACTGCACCTTACTTATATTGTTTTTAAATTTTTTTTTTTTTTTACATTTTACGCAGCAAAATAAACTCTGAATTTCAAAGAATTGGGAATCTAACAGAAATAAACTCCGGAAAACACCCTTTGAATTTCACGAGAAATAAACTCAGAAAACACGGAATCCTAGTTATAACAAACCCGGCATCTCGCAGATATGGGGGGCAGAAGCCGAAACTATTTTGAAGATAAATAAATTAAGGCATCTGTGGAGCGGCAGATTGTAAGGTAAAAAAAGTGGCGATGTTAGGAAGTTCCCACAATTGTTTTAATATTTCTGAAAGTTTTGAAGACTACTTTCGAGCACATATCCAGAAAGTTAAATTGATCAATCTATTTATTGACCATGCATGCTGTTCAGATTTAAAAGAAAGTCAACATTCTTGAACTCGCTGGTCGACGCAGGACACTGTCAAACTTGTCAGATCTTCCGCGGTTCCACCTGGCAGCACGAGACGGAACCTGTCGATGTGCTATGCTAATACCGGCACACCATTGTCCTATAGATAACATGTCTATACATATTCGGCCGAGATACATGAACAAAACTTTTCTGCATCGCTAACTGATGTTCCAGCTTTCTAATCAAATTATTTTTATTCGCTGGGCTACACATTGTAAAAGGCTACCGTTCCATAGAAGAATTTTTCAGGCGAGATGCACGAACAGACCTTTTCTGGAACGCTAATTGCTGTCTTGGCTTTGAAATCAAATAGTTCATACCTGCTAGATTAAGCACTATTCAACTGAAAAGGGGCCGCAGTTCACTCTGCCCTTTGTCTTGACAACGTTTCTGGTCAGCGCAGCCATCTTGTTTCATGACGTCACAAAGTGTGAAGAAGTAGCTCACGTTCCGAGATATAATCGGTGCATGAAGAACGCACTCGAGTGTCAGTCTCCGGCGGCGCTCCTGTCCGTCTAGTGGACAGGGTGCTAAAGCCTCGCGCTCCGGTGCACGGACTTAAAGCATCCATTGAGACAACTATCATGGCTGGTGGACAAATGGGACTGCATTCCGTTTTGACGCTCGGAGCCAAGACGGGCTGCCTGCCACCTACCCGTGTTCCAGGGTGAAGACGGCCTTGATTGGGCGCCTGTTCATCCCGTCCCCTCCGGTGCATGAGTTGAGGCACATGAACCTCAGGTGGATGGTGCTGCAGGTTGTGCCAGCTGCGAGACGGGCATGAACGAATACTACCTTAATCCGGGAGTTCTCAAACTTTTTTATCTCGAGTGATCCTTATGTGGCTTGATCAGCAGCTAAAAAACCCATCCCCGTCTCGGCATTGGCGCAGTACAGCAGTCCAGAAGCCTACGAACCTTCAAAACAATGCACATTCTAGGGAGTCTAGCTCATAGTTATGCACAGCGCATGGCCCAGATCTTTGAATAGGGTTTAAACCTGAAAAATACATTACTTAGGTGTGGGGATGGTCGAAAAAAGCATGGAGATTGGGGCAGCCAGTTTGAGAATCCATGCGTTAATCCAAGATTAACATACTCAATAACCAATACCATAATCCTACAATGACGCACACTTTTGTGATGGGAATTAGCACAATGCACACACGTCGACTACGGCGGCGGAAGGAAGGGGCAAGAGGGGGTGCATGTTCGCCCTCCTATGTTTTTAGTAAATATTCTTGTCACCTCATCGTCTCCCCAACACTATGAATGCCCTGCGTTTCGATGATACCTGCTCTGTTGTGAAACTGGCGGCACCAACACAACCTTGCGGCACCAAAACCACACCAAATTTGTTGCTCATGTTTATACAGCATAAGGCAGGTCTGCCTTTGAGGTGCGGCAACACTCGTTTACGGTGCAGATGAATCGCCGGCGTCATCACTGCAGGCGGACATGTTTTCGAAAGCCCGCCGAAGCTAAGTATCGTACCGTATTTGCACGAATATAACGCAACCACGAATATAACGCGAGGGCAGGTTTTGATGCCCTCAAAAAGAAAAAAAATATATTATTACTATTATAACGCGAACCGAGGCCGCGTCAATTTTTCGCACTCGGGGGCATAGCAGATGTGAAAAGTCAATGGAAATAGAAGAAATATCAGTTTATGTTTTGACTGCACTCATCCTCACAGCTCAGGTCCTTCCGTTTACAATCCACTTGGTGACTACGCAGATAAGCAGCAGCACGGCACCTGCTTGTCTGGTAGTTCCTTTTTCTTCCGTGCGAGCTCCTCGGCAGCCCACAATCCAAACAAGGCAGGAAGCAGAAGCACCAACACACAAACACCAGATCACTCTGGATCAGAAACTAAACAATGCGCAGCAGAAAAAAAAGACTGCTGAATCCGATACACGATCATACTTCTTGTTCTGGTCCCTCTGCATAAACAAATGCCTCGTGTTGCACGATTGCGTAAACCTTGGCGTAAACGCGGTTAGTGGTCTTGGCTTGGCTTGTGTTGACTTGACTTGGCCCGGCTGGGCTTGGCTCGAATTGGCCGGTGCTTGCATTCCCGCATGGTGTGTGCGCGCGCGCGCGCGCTAAGTTTCTTCGGCGTGCGCGCGTTGTACAAACACAAAAATGTTAAAATTTTTTATGTTTTCTATTCGTCCCTTCACGTCTCCCAATAGCTAATAAATGCCCCTCCACACCCCTACTTCTTTTCCCACCAAATATTTTGCATTGAGCCGGAGGGATGGCTTTCTCCTCTGGCTTTCTCCAGACTCGCGCGCCTCATGGCTGAACTCGATTTCGAATATAACGCGAGATGCGTTTTGGAGCACGTAATTTCGGAAAAAAACTCGTTATATTCGTGCAAATACGGTATTTCTTGCATAATGAATACACTTTTTTTTAAAAAAAATTGACGGATATTTGGGGGGAAGGGGGGGGGGGGAGGGGACGGGGGCGTTTATTACATGGGGTAAAATGTTTTTCAATTTACACACTTTGTGCAAATGTCATATTAGGTGCCAATATAACACGCCAAGGTACTGTGGCACGTCTCCAGTGATGGAGGCGCACCACAGTAACCATGCTTTACAAATTGCAAACCTTTTTAGGGCGCTTTCGGGGTGCCTGAAGAACAGAGTAGAAGGAGACAAACACGGTGAACAAGACAGGGCTGTTGGCAAGGGGCTCGACTGAAGCGGGGCCAAGTAAGGAAAAGAGGGTCCCTGTAACGGGAAGTTCAAACAAGAACATGTGCAACACAGGTTTACTTAAAAGCAGAGGAAGATGAGAGGGTCATTGTGCAAGTGTGCCCAGGTGCCTGCATCGGAAAAGGTATGGAGGGGGCGAAGAACCACTTATGGGACAGCATGGATGGGCAGACCTGGTAGTGGTACATGCTGGACTGAAAGACGTTTTGCAGGGAAGAGAGCAGAACCTCTTGCCAACTTGTATTTCAAAGGTGACCTTTCCATCGCTTTTTGTGAACACCTCTTCACGAAGGATATACAGTCTTTTTTGAAGCTGAGCACAATCAGTTGCAATGGTTTCTGGATCTTGCGAAGCTCATTCTTGGCAGCAAACCCAATGTTGAATGCAGCAGCTGCAATGACGTTGTCAGGCTTCTCCAAGTCGATCCTAAGCAGCTTGGAAGATGTGTTGGCAGCTTGTAGGATATCTTTCCTGACTCTAGCCAGCAGTGACTGTAAGAGGTGATACGAAGCAGATGCAAGGAAGGGAAGCATGGGCTTCCCTGTCTAGAATTCAGCCAGAAATGGCTAGAGTTCTTCAGAAATCGAGAAAATAAAGGCCAATTTCACTGGCAGCATCTGGCCACCTACTGCCTTTTCAACAGTGCTGTAGCTAGCACGTGTTGACTGTTTTTTTGCTTTCTTTGCGCATTTTACAAACTTAACCAAGTTTGGAATAACATCAAGCGTTCTCAAGATCACCTTGCTACAGTATAGACCACTTACAACGTAACCGCTAATAGTGCAGGACCGGGTATAACGCGGCTTTTTTAAACCACCGGTTCGCCTCCCATAGAACTCCATGTAATTACATACCGCTTAAAATGCAGGCGCGCGAAGGGAAATACCGGTTATAGTGCGGTTTCTGAAACAGCTCGCCGACCGGCGCAGCGAGCACGCTTTCCTGTGCGACACTAGATAACGGCGCCTGACGGCGCCACGGCGATGGCTGCAAGCGGCACTCGCGGTGCAAGGAGCGAAGAGAAAGGCTTAGTTGCCATAGCGACGGAGGGACGCACGCACGTGTCGTTCACGTGCGTGCGTCCCTCCGCTGCGCTGGAAACCACGACCAGAGTTGGTCGTGTTGGAAACAGGAGGTCGTGGTTGGAAACAACCGCAACGACAGACCAATCGCAGGTCGAGGAGAAGTGTTCGCGCGCGTTGCATGCCGGTCGCGGGCCGGCTTCTATCCGCAAACATGGCGTCGGTTGTGATCGTCGACGTAGACGGCGTTCGTTCCGCGTAAAAGCGCTATCCTTGACTGTGAATTTTCGTTGCGTGTCGCTATGATAACCCAGCACGTACTAGAAGGGAAGATCCACCTACTCGTGCGGCGATCTCGTGGTGGCACTCTCAAGACGGCAGAAACGCCCGTGTCGTCGTGTTTGTTTACCTCAACTACAGTGGTGCTTTCTAAGCATTTGTGCTTTCGAACATCGCCCGGATTTCTTATTTGGAGCATTTCATGCCTGTGCTCAAGCTGAAGGTATTACTGGCACGTACCATATAAAGGATGCGAATTTTCACGCGTTTTCATCACCGGAGAAAAGTGATTAGGGTTAGCAATCCTGAACACTCGCAACGTCCGTCCGCAACCCGCGACGCCGTTAAAAGGCTGCGCTAGGCAAAAGTCGCTCATTTCTTTCAAAATGTGTGACACACTTGAGAGAGAAGTGTACTAGTCTGGTGAAATAAAGACTTTCCTCAAACTAAGCTTTATTTTTCATCTAACATTAAATAAATTCTTTTACAATGGTTAAGTTGTCTCATGGCACGTATTTTGGCCTGAAAAATTGATGTTTTGGTTATATCGCGGTACCGCTTACAGTGCAGATTTTCGCGACTCCCGCGACATACGTTATATGCAGTCTACACTGTATCCTTTAGCCACCTTACTGAGCAGAACTTCACGGAAACAGAACACTTCCGGTGAAGTGGATATAGTCTGCTCGACGTGCTGGCACACATTTGAACAGGTTATAGCTCCCCCGAGGGAACACAACCAGATCCCAGTGCGTCGTAGGGTGACTTGTCGTAAGGGGGGAAGCGGCGCTTAACCCCTAAGGGGGAACACTGCTTCTTGAGCTTTTTTTTTATTTATGGTCCAATCCAAATGAAATTTATAGAGCATAATCATCTTCCCATTCTGATGACAAATATGTACTTTGTTTTAAAATAGCTTGGTTGGTTTTGATAAAATAAACTATTTTATTTGAACATTTTATGGGCGAGATTCCAAAAAATTATGAAGACAAAACTCAAAAAGGAATATATCTCTGTAAACTAGAAGGTCTACAGAATCCAATAGGGTATAAATGAAGGCTCCATAATTATTTATAACAATTTTAACGGCATTTCGAAATTTTCAGTTTATAAATTAATTTTCACAATCTATATTGGAGGTGCTAACAAAAAACACTGATGCCTAGGTTGATGCAATTAGAACCGTTATTGGATACCCCACTTATACACCTACCAAAGAAAGAAAGAATTAGGAAGATTGGTAGTGTACAGGCCGAGATACGGCTTCCGCAAAATAGCAAACTGCGCAAAAAAACGTTCACGGACAGATTTTTACTGATACCCGCGGCGTACTACACTCGGATGCGACATCCCCGCAGATCTTGCAACATAGCTTGAGTTTTACTGCAAGTCCATACTCGCGATCGCATTTTATGAGTTCGACATCGCCGCAACAAGCTTTACACTTTGCGAGTTGAAGAAGCGAGTTCACGACGTCGAGGCTTACGACAATGAAACTCTCTGTACTCTCAGGAGCTTCTAGATCGGCGCCCGAGACGCCGGCCATCAGGGCAGCTTCCCGCGTCGTAGCGGACGTTCAGTTTTTCCTCGGCTTTTTTTTCTTTCTCGTCGATCTCGGAAGCGCTGAGCATCCCCGTGTCGAGCCGCACTCGCTCGGTTGAAGTCACGGATGTCGACGGCGCCGTCAATGCGACATCTTCGTGTTCGGGCTCCCGCACCTCGTCATCGACGTTCAGACTCGCGGGAAGTTGAACTGCACCATGGATTAGCTTCCTCGGGCCCTTTTTTCGTTTTTTTCCGAACTTGTGGGCCGTGTGAAACTTTTTCCATGGAGTTGTTGTGATCGGCATTGTCAGAGACGCGCACGAGAATCAAACAAGATGGCGGATCGGAAACAACGAGCAGACGCTGCGTAACCCTACGGCCAATGAGAAAGCGCCATTTGCACATGTGATCCGAAACAGCCAACCGCCTGGCAAAATTTAGTTTCTTATTTGTGCTTCGTTCTCGGCGGCCAATCGCCGTCTAGCATCGTGAACGGCGGGAGAAGAAAGAGCGGGAGCGGAGCTTTCAAATGAGACCAAGATGCCCCCCTTCTATCGCGTTGTTCTCGAGCTACCGGTGGTCAAATTGTACCTTTTTTTTTTGCTTTTTTCGGAGGATGCATCTCCGTTTAGATACTTCAAATCAATACCCCAAAATAAATAGGGCGTATTTTTGTGATAATACTTTGAGAAAAGATGTGAAAATACCTGTAGATATTAAAAAAACAATTTCAAAAATGTGACTTTTTTGTCAATTTTTTGTTTCAAGGAGCCGTGTCCCCCCTTAAGTGCCAAATTTTTCTTTTTTCCAAGAGTAAGCTAAAAGTGCCAGATTTTTTTTTATTTTGAATTGTTACTCCTCTAGTATTACACATAAAATTTGAAAAGTTTATTATGCAAAAGTCAGCGGAGGCGAAAAAAATATTTGCCAACTAATACGAGTGCTGCCATCTACGATCAGCGCCGCAAAACTACTTGGACGAGCCGAGCTCGTCCTTGGAATTTAGGGCAACCGAAAAAACCACTGGACGAACTGTGCTCGTCCACGGCATTTTCAGCTAGGAAGTGGCCGACGAGCTCCTCCAAGGCACTTAAGGGGTTAAAGTCGCGAAAAAGTTAATTTTTCAAAAACCCAATATTTGGGTTCTTCATACATCTGAGCACCTCTGTGCAAAATCTCACGGCGTAATTCGATCTCAAAATATAAAAAATTCGATCATTTCCGTGCAAAAAATGCACCAAGAAGCAGTCCAAAAGAGAAAACAAGACGCCAAAACTCACGCGCTTAGCGTTCCATCATTGCACGGTGGAAAGTTGTTTTCTTTGTCTACAATTCGGCACCATCTAAAATGGCATCGGCCTTCGGAACCAGAGATATTGCGGTTTTCCCCGGGGAAAAAACTGCGCTCCCGATTGGTTACGCGGGCCACGAAGAGGGCTGCTGCTATTGGCCGGAACGAGTGCCTCCTCTCCAAAACTTTGTGGCCTTCCGTTTCCCCCCCCCCCCCCCTTTTCCGGGAAATCTATCAGCCCTATGATATGCATTTTGACCTCCCCTTCTGCACCCTCTCCCTTTCCCCTTAAAAAAAGAGAAGAAATATTCCTGGCTACTATGCTGGCAAGGTTAAAAGAGGAAAGGGCCAGGCATTGTCATCTATGTGGCTCTGGTCTTGTCCATCCAAAACATACCTTCAGGGCTGGTGTAATCCATCACAACACTGAGGTGGCCTGTGGAAGGGTCCTCCTTGTAGGCTGCATGCAAACTCTCACACCGAATTATGTGGGATGGGAATGGGTGACCTGCCAAGAGAGAAACAACAACGGATCATTCATCACACACACAGCGCCAAGATGCCGACCTGTCTACTGTTCTTTACGGTTTTCTACGAAGCTTGACAGTACACACAACCCACACAACCTGTTCCATGAAGGAACGAAAGCAGGCGGAGTCAAGGCCGGTTTACAAGTGCTGCAGTGCCTCGAATGTAACTTAGTGCTGTATCTCTAATACAGCACTCAATTAACACCGCATCAGTAAGGACAGCGTATATTTAGCACCGAGTACAGTCAAACCCGCATATATCGAACTCGCAAAATAATGGGAATTAGTTCGATATATGATGTAATTCGATATAACAGTTTTAATGAATTTAACTCTGAAAAATCCACTTTCTGCTGACATATTACACAATAAAATAGTCTTGCATCTCCTGTTTTAACCTGGGGAAGTTTACCAAATTTTGCCATATTGCTCATTAATAGTTGGAGGTGCCAAAACTGCAACATTTAAAAAACAAATTTTTTGCTGAAAAATGGGCATTTTAGGGCCGTATTCCCCCTAATGTACCACATAAGGGAAAAAGACACGAGCAATCTCCCATTCCCGTGAATTCTATCAAGAGAAATAGTAAGACCCCGGAAGTCTTATTCGTGCACCCCATCAGAACTATGGGCATAACGTAAAATCCCATACAAATGCCCCCTTCCCCCACCCCCCTGAGGTCGCCAATCACATCAACCGTGTGATCTGCGGTACTGGTAGTATGTGTGACAAGTGCGTCAGCAGCGAGTTCCCTTGTGTTCGTGGCACTGTGCCACGCAAATCTGCTGCATCCACAGTCTGCGATATCCTTCACCGTGACACGCGAGTTCGTAGCAGATTCCCGCAAATTTTGTCCGCGATGTCAGTTTCCAAGAAACCTGCTGCATTCTGAGGCATCCGTTGCTGCGGCAGGAAAGCTCGTAGCGAATTCCTGTGCATAAATTGCGCCGTAGAGCGCGAGTTCGCCGTGTCCGTGATATCAATTCCCGTTTTACACTGTTTGTGACGGGTGTCCCCGCATTTATAACTAATTTTTTATAAGAATTTGCTGTGGCATCCCCAAAGATTGCCCACCCCACATTTGTCACCATTTATGTCTTCGTTTCGGGTGGGCGTTTTTACGGAATTTACGGTAGCGCTACCGGCCGACTTCACAATGCCGAAAACCCCCGCAACAGTTGCACGGGGCACAAAGGGCCTCGTCAAAGAAAACGTGTGCACCCACTCTGGTTGGTTGCGTCGGTCAGGTCCATGTGCCTGATGCAGCGCTTCACCGGTTTCATCGCGTCGTTGGGCTGGGAGAAGACGGCCATGACACGCACGGTGGTGCCAATGGGAGGCTCGCGCTTCAGGTGCACACGGAAAGGGCACGCCATGTCCAGTTTGACAAAGAGTTTCTTCAGACTCTCATCGTACTGCAAGAAGTGTGTTGTGGTCAGGATAAAGCCATTGTTCCAGGACCAACCCTAGACTCGACTAGAACAAGTGGCAACATTTTAAATGCGATAGCACATCTAGGGCCATTAATCCGCGAGATTGTGTGCGTCTATCCGTAAGCACCTCATTAGCTAAATTTAGGGCGAGAGCCGGAATTGGCGTGTGCTTCCCCCAAGCCATCTACGACGTTTTATGTTTATTGGATGTTTTAAACCATTTAATAAGTGATTCACACATACACACACACAAAAAAAACTTGAAAAAAAAAAAAATTGACGTTGAAATTAATGTTTTTAGAGCCTTCTCATATTCAAAGGCCTTTATCTGTAAGATAGCCTTACCCGACTATAAAGATATTATACTTGCTAAATAGGCATTTGTTTAAGCTTTCATTTGATATATAATTTATGCTATGAAACTGAGTGTAACAAAGGTAATTATCGTCCGAACCAGATAAGGTATTGTCAAAGAAACCAGGTTCTGGATTTTTTACAAAAATAAATGAAAAGCAAAGCAAGACTTCATGGACATTTGGCACTATTACTGCAGTTTAAAAAGACATAAAGGCAGTTTCATTGTCGTGCAGAAGGTATCTGAGCCTGACGAAGCTCCCAGGTACGCAACCTGCGACATTACCAAAATCCCAAAATTCGCCTTTCGCCCTTTAGAAGTAAAATGCTCAAGAACTAAAAATATGACACAAAAACGGTTTTCAATACCGTTGTAGACAGGAATTCACCTAGCATATATATATATATATTTCTTGTCCATAAGCTTTAGACATATGCCCCTTTTTACTGCACAATTTGAAATGAGATAGCTCTATTACGTAATGGAAACCTTCAGGGCCCCTAAACTCGTCAAACACAAAGTTGGGGCCGAAGTTGAAGGAGCGCACTGATTGGCTCAGCACGACGATGACTTCGTGCTTCTTTCGCCGACGTCCAATGAGTGCGCTCCGCGAACTTTGGGCTCCAACTTTGTCTTTGACGAGTTTAGGGCCCCAGGTAATTCAGTCGAGAAAAAAAAAAATTGGGCATTAAATTTTCAATATAGCAATGATTACCATACTTTAAGCACGGCCAAAAAAAGATAAATTTTTTCCTTGCATAGTTTGTGCCCTAAGCAGAGTGAACACCTAGTCCATACTGCACACATAAAACATTATCCTACACAAGACACTTCGAAAAATACTTGCTTTATTTGAGTACAGAGAAGCTTGTATTTTACAAGAACTATTAACACATTCTGTCATTCACAAAATCCTTTACACCTTGTCATAAAGAACTATCGTGGAAAAACAAAGCCGTAGTCTTCACTTCTAGATAAATCTGCACCCCATAAAATTTTAACTTTCAAACACGTATAGTCCGTAAAAAATAGTACGGAAAATATGGTGACGACAAGTGTGAATTAAACGCAAGACTTTTTAATACAATACAGCAATATGCTACTCCAGCTTAACGACACGAAAGCTTGAAACCTCACCGTGTAGCCTGCTCCTTTTGTTGACCTCTGTTGCTGAGGGCAGTCGACATAAAACCCATAGTCCCCTTCGTAAGCTGTTCTGCAAAAAGATATGCTTAAAGTCAATAAAAATCTTTAAAGCAAGCATATAAGAATTGATCCTTTTGTCTACCATACACCAAGCTCCTTCCCTCCAAAGAATGGCACTTTAGAACACTTAAGCACCTCCAAAACCATGTTACGTACGTGACTGGGCAGTGACGACCGCCCACAGGCTGAGGAAGCTCCACAATGGGTGGCACTGCAGGCGTTGGTTGAAACGGTAATGCAAGGCTCTAAAACAAATAAAAAAATTTTTATTTTACAATTTTTTGGGGCAAACATTTTGTCTCACAATGAGAAAATGCACAACAGACAAAACGTGCACGCGGAAAGTTCAGAGGTTTCCTTAGGTGTAGAATGCAATAACCGGCTTGTATCTGTTACAACATGTTCTAGTAATGAATATACTAAAAACCATTCCAACATACGCCATTCAAACATGTGACGGCGAACCCAAGGAGTTGTTCTGTTTGGTTGGGATCTCCGTCACGCAATTTCTAGATGCTCAACAATAGCCAGTCGTTTCGCATGCAATTTCGAACACCAGGAGAAGCATGCTCTTCCTATGACGACCTGCGAAATCACTGTCGCAAATTGCAATTTTAGAAGGGGAAATGTTTGTCGCTCGCAGTTTTCTTACTTAGCAATGTTGATCGAGCTGGAGAGATTGCCAAGTCCAATTGGGAATGTTCCCGACGAACACGTGTCACTTGTGTCGCAGCGATGGACAAACAATCCACAATTCTAGGCTTTTCCTATCCTGAAGACCACCTGGCAGCAATATCAGGAAACTGACCCTTCTTCTGACAGGAGTCTGCTGCATTGACCTGTAGGAGCGAACCCGACCATTTCTTCAGTGCACCGCCGTGCACCACGAATGGAAGTTGTTGAGTGTGCTTGCCAACGCAGCGCGCGGAGCGTGAGGATGCGACAGCTATCCGTTGCGCACAGAGTGTATCCGTGGAAACAATAAAAGGTACCAGAAGTTCGAGGGTATGAAAGACAACACTGATTAGCGAGATTGCCACGATTAGTAGGGCAATCACAGAAAAAAGTGAGTATGGGTAACTTTGGTTATAACTGAGACCGTGTTAAAAAAGCCAATTTTGTATGAAATTTGGAGGGCGTTTTTCGGACTTTATTGGTGTTTATCGGAGTTTATTTTTGTAAGATTCCACAGTCTCCGAGATTCTGACTTAAATTCAACTGTGTTCCAATTTTTTTTTTTTTTTTTTTTCAAAAATGTTGAATAAAATAATTTTTAAAAAGTTCAGACACAGACATACCCTAAATTCATCTAAACTCCCCTGAATCGCTAGATATTTTAGCAGCTGCATCTGGCATCGCTGCTTTGCCATTGGCAACAAAACTATCCACGACAATTATTGCAAAGAAGTGTTGCCTCAATACAGGGTTAAGTTAAATTACATAATTTAAAAAAATATTTAAAGTGAAGTACAAAGTAACTGAGAGCTTATGCACGTCAAGTAAAGTACTGAGTGCACTGGATGCAATGTTTTTAAAGTAAAGTACTATAAATACAATGTACTTTCAAAGTAAAATATGGGTACATTTTAACACGACCTTTCATTCCTCAGTACAATTTTTTTTTTAACTGCTATGCAGTGTTTTAGGGGTAAAAAGGGGTGCATCACTTATTTTCTGAAATGGCGGCGAAGATTGGATGAAGTCGAATGTCCACAGAGCGGTTATTTTCAAAAATGGCGCCAAATTCAGAAGTCCCTTTGACCTCTGAATTTGGTGCCGCTTGCATTGGCTTGCACCCAAGGGGGTTAAACGTACAAACTTCCGCAAGCGATCCTCTGGTGGAGGAGTGTCCTATCTTGACGTTTTTAAGCTCATTGCTCACGCTGACTGAGCAAGAAGTAGCGAGAAAATATAGTAAGGGTGCAGGCAAGCTAGTGAATATTAACCATGTTGAATTAATCTGAGACTGGGGAAGAAGAGGAACATCAAAACATACAATGAACGGAAAATAGACAAAACAATATCTTAAGCAGCAACAGTTTGAAATGCTGAAGAAAAGCCCCCCCCCCTCCGGAAAGAGTAGATTGCAATACACCAGACTTTGCCGAAATCAAGCATGAGCTGCTATGGTAATTCCTGGAATCAGCAACATCGTCTTTGTAAAATATTTTGTGTAAAGTGAGGAGCGCGCATGTGCCCACATATCTAGGGTCACTGAAAAGGAGCGGTTTAAAGGGCCCATGAAACAAATTTTGGGCTGGAGTAAATCAATTTATATTGGGATTTTACTAATAGCCTGGCGTTTGGTATGAAAATTTGAAAACATGGCGGACTATTTCGTACCTCCTTCCCTTCGTAAGCTCTCTGCCTTTTCACTGTGATACATCCACGGTCCCCACAGCACGTCGCCGGGCCCAAACGCACGTCACACGACACCGGACCTCACTTAATCCCTTCACCCCTAAGCTGACATTGTGGTGGAAGCTACGCACTTGCCGGACCAATCAGCCGCCTCCCTTTCATCATTTGACTTCATTCTCTGCGCGTAAGTATGCGCGAGAGGGCGTGATCACGTGGCAAAAGTGTGGCTGGCCCAATGAGCACGTAGCTTCCACAGCACTGTCAGCTTCGTGGTGAACTGGGCGGGGAAAGCAACTTTTGTTTGAATTTCGAGCGACGGGCTGATCTTCTAGAGGGAGAATGGCTGTGCCCGGGTACACAAACGAGATTACGAGCAAGAGGGGACTCCCCCCTTTCCGTCTTCTTGAGTGTAAGTTGAGGAGAAAAGCTAAACAGGAAAAAGTAGGAAAAGCATTTCATGACTCCTTTAAAACTCGCTTTCAGTAACATAAACAAAAAAAACCCATCCAGAGACCAATGAAGATCCTCCAATGTAGTTTATTCCAGTCATATGCGTGTGTGAAGCTTGTATGTGCAGTTCCTTGCTCCCCAAAAGTGATTAACAAAGCAGGATATTTCGCTTGTCGCCGTTACTCTTCTTCACACCTCTCTGCAGGGGCGGGAACGCAAATACACGAAACACTGCCGGCATACTAACAGTGGTTGATAGCGGCCAGCCACAAAGCCCGTGCATAGTTAGGAAATGCCAGATGGCGCAAAACATCTAAAAAAGCCTATTGATGACCTTCGCCAATTAAAACTTTCAGTCAATATTGCCAAGGTCACAGCTCAATAACTACTTTTTTTTATTTAGAGCTGCATGGAAAAGACAGGATACTTCACATACCCTGAAGGGAGTGTGCATAGGCATGAAGGCCTCGGCAGCAACTTCGTTTGCAAAATACTCGCTGATTTCGATGGTTGAGGACAGGTCCGGGCAGCTGAAAGCAGACACAAGAAGGACGGCCAACACACAAAACATTAAACACATTTTTTTTTTTTAAAGGGACACTGACACCCCCCAAATTTTTTTTTTAATTTTTTGCCAGGCGCTTTATTATGGTGTCGGAGGACTACCCAATTAATATTTTGCAACAGAGTAGCGTATTTTTTTAATAAAGCCAAAAGACGCAACTGCTCGAAACCGAAACCGAAACCCGACGGAGGTCGGAGAAGTGGAGAGAAGAGAGTGAGTGGCGGAAGTCACGTGGCTACACCCGACCGTGCATTTTTTCTGTTTTTTTTTCTCCTCTCGTACCAGACGACACAACAGGTGGCGTACGAGAACTGTTCGCCGTGCGATTCTTTTGCAGTTATGTTTGTTCCGCTCGTTGTTCTGTACTCCAAGATGAGTTGTTTTGTACATTGAGGAGTTGGAGATGAGTAGTGAGTGCCGGTGGTGAATTTCCATGATCAGCTCCGAAAAGAATACACCCAAGATGTTGCGCGAAGAGCTGGCTCACATGTCCTGCGTCCGAAAAAAAAAGGGACATTGTGCGAAAGAGTTTTCAAAAGATCAACGGGATCGGGACCAATGGCTGGCTGCAATTCCTGTAGAACATATACGGGCACCTTGGAAAGCGGACGCTACCCGATTTATATGCTCCTTGCATTTGGTGGAAAGTGATTACATTGAGTTCGCAGGTGTCAAAAGGAAATCCCATACCATTTAATTCAGCGAAGTGTCGTCCACAACATTTGTTTGTTATTTTTTGTTTGTTTCTTCAGTGATAATTGTACAAAAAAAAGATATGTAAACATCAAAAAATGTTTGAAGAAAAAAAAAAAAAAAAAAGGTTTTACGGGGGATCGAACCCGGTCCTACCGCGTGTGAAGCGGGCGTCTCTCCCACTAAGCTACTGGGGCATCTCTTTACTGGTAAATCTCTTTCCTTAGTAATATTGCAGCCGGTAAACTAAGTTGGAAAGTTTGCTGCCGATTTTCCTCTAGCAAAAGCACTCCCGGGTCGAAGTCGGGAAGCACCACGCATTGGCGACATTCGCCACGCATTGGCGACATTCGACATTCGCGGGGGAGCGGGGGGGGGGGGTAGGGGAGAGAGCCGCGAGCCGCACTTTAACACGCGAAGAGCCTGTCACGAATTCCAGGTTTTCCTGTTTATTTTTTTTCTTTAACTTTCCGCCGATAGATTCGTTTATCGTCTGTGTAGCGGCGTCCGAACGTCGCCGAGTTCGGGGCCGCGCCTTTCTTCCCTTTCGGGTTGGAGATCAGTGGCATCCGCGGGAGAGAGGAGAAGTTGCCTGTTGGACCGGGCGCTCAAGGTCGCTTGGCCGGCGCGTCTGTCGGGCGCTCTGGGAACAATTATTGTTTGTCTGTCGGGTGCTCTGGGAACAATTACCGATAGAATCTCACGATACTTCCAACGGTGAGTTAGATCGTTGGCTGATGACAACACAGGTTCTCCTTGAGTTGGCAAGGAAATCAGTTGTTTACCGACAAAGAAATGTGCGGGTGTCAATGGCTCTGGTTCGTCCGGTCTGAGGAGATGGAGGTCAAAGGCCGAGAATTGATAACAGCCTCTATCTCCATCAATACGATGCCCAGCTCTTCATAGGTTACGTAACTGCACCCCAGAACCTTTTTTAATTTCCAGTTGATGCCTCGACTGGACAGGTAGTTGAGTGACTCCTGTTCTCTCATTATTTTCCATATCTTTCTGAATTCAGCAGACGCTCGGTGGAAAGTCTGTGCATTATCACAGTAGCTCGTGTGGCAGAGTCCGCGCCGGGCCACAAAGCGACGAAATGCCAAAAGGAAACTACCAGTAGACAAGTCGATCACCACCCCTAGATGTATTGCTCTAGTGACTGCGCAGGTCAGCAGCAGAATGTACAATTCTTTTACCTTGCCTTCGTCCTTGGTGAGGACAGGTCCGGCGAAGTCAAGTCCCATGACCGCAAAAGGGTCCGCCTTCAACACTCGGTCTCGTTGCAGCGGCGCGACTGGTTCGGTCGCACTTTTGCGGCTCATCCTTCCGCAGACAAGACAACGGCTCAAGGCCCTCTTGATTACTTGTCAAGCTCATATAATCCAGAACATCTCGCGCAGCTGAGTTAGAGTGTCCATGCACCCTGCATGTAGCAGCCGTCGATGTGTGCTAAAGATCAGCAGTTCCACAAAGTGGTGTGTCAAAGGCAAAACGACAGGATATGCAGCCTCATAACCGAGGTCTGAATGTTGTAGGCGTCCTCTCAGTCGTAGCAACCCTCTGTCATCTATATATACATTCAGAGTGCGCAGATCTGACGAGCCACTGCAGTGTTCACCTCGTTCTAGTTGGTTTAGTTCATCCACAAAGGCTTCTCTTTGAACTTGACAAAGCAACTTAAGACGTGCCTCCCCTATCTCTTGAGTTTTGAGTGGACCCTGGAGATTCTTTTTGGAGTGTCTACAATTGACAAAACGTAGCAGCCAAGCAGTGACCCGTTGTATGTGCTTCAGCTCCCCAACCTTTCCAAGGTTTACCGCAGGCATACAGGAGCTCGTAGCAGTATGGCTCACCGTTAGTTCTGAAGTTCTTCCTTGGCTGCAGTATCTAGGGTACCAGTGCGCATAGTAGGCCAACATGTGGGTGACTCTGCCAGCCCCTTTGGTCTTTTCCACCATAGGTCACACTTCTGTACAGTCCGGAGGGACACCCCAGGTTAGTAAATCCGCCGGGTTCTCAGCTCCAGGGCAGCGTTTCCAGTTGCTGGGTTCTGTCCTCTGTTGAATCTCCATAACTCGGTTTGCCACAAATGGTTTCCACTGAGTAGCCAGGCCCTTTATTCAGTGTAGAGCAATCATCGAGTCTGTCCACAGCATCACTTCTGAGAGGTCCAACTTAAAAACTCCCTTAAAGTAGGCACATAGTCGAGCGCCCAGTAACGCTCCCATCAGTTGCAGTCTTGGTAAAGTCAAGGTCTTTACTGGCGCAACGCGCGTCTTGGCCATAATGAGGGTCACAGTCGCCTGGTTATCACTGTCACTATGCAAATACGCGACTGTCCCATAAGCCTGGGGGCTAGCGTCCGTGAAGACATGCAGCTCAGTTCGACCCCTGTATGCAGCAAAGCGACGAGGAATCGAAATGTCCTCGAGATGATGCACAGCCTTTATTTAGTTATTCATCTCAGACTTGCGCTTGGAGGTAGCGGAGTGTCCCAGTCCGCCCAAGGGCCCTAAGTTCTTGAAATAACATCTTGGCTGTTACCGTCACTGGGCTGAGGAGGCCGAGCGGATTGAAAATTCTCGCTGATGCTTGCAATACAAAGCGTTTTGTGCCACAGTTGATTGTCAGAAGCTCCAATGTGCTTTGCAAAGAGTACTTGAGCTCGTCCCTCTCTCTATTCCACTAAGTTCCAAAACCCGCATCACACCTGACCTCGGTGTGGAAGTATCACAAGAGAGGTTTCCAACCCCATCTTCGTCAAATCGTTGTTGCAATGACTCGCTGTTGGAACTCCACTTCCTCAGCTTCATTCCTGTACAGCTCAATATTTGCTGGGCTTCCCTGTAGAAGTTTGTTACTGCTTCCAGCGTTTCAATGCCAGCAATCAAGTCGTCAACGTAAAGGCAATCGTCCAGTACTTTTGCAGTCTCGGACAAGCCTTCTGAGACGTTGGCTAGGTGGTGCTTGATAGTCGCTGCCAGCATAAAAAGGCTGCTCGTTGCACCAAATGGGTTGCATGTCATGCGCCACGCTTCAGTCTCCCGACTTGTGGAGTCTTCCGTAGGAAAATGTGTGTACCACGGAAAGCGAAGGGCATCATGATCCTCCTGCTTGATCAGAATCTGTAAGAAGGCCTTCCCAATATCTGCGGTGAAGGCAATCGCATGACGTCAGAAGTTGATGATAAGCTGTAACATGTCCGGATTGAGGCTTTGGCTCGTAGACAATGCATCGTTGAGGAACAGACAGCCCGGTGCCTTTGGAGACGCATCAAGCACAGTGCGTACCTTAGTCGTAGAACTGTCAGGTCTAAAAATAGCACGATGAGGCATGTAGTAAACTCGTTTTCAAGTGGTGCCAACCTCGCCTTCTGGCACTCTTTCAGCAAAACCTTCTTTCAGGTAGCTACAGGCACGCAGCCAGGGGGGAGGCCCATGGGGCCCAGGCCCCCCCCCCCTTGAAATGTTCCATTTTGAATGGGTCCTCCTCTCCCCCCTCCCCCTCATACAGCATTTTGTCATGGGTGGGCCCCCCCCGAAACAAAATCCTGACTACGTGCCTGGGTAGCTACGGATCGCCGAGTCGTACTGCGTCAGTCTTTCGGTGTTGCCTCTTAAACGCCGAATCAACTTGTCCAGACGCTGTACTGCAACGGCTTCGTTGTTCTTTGGGGGGCCATGACCAAGGGTAGTGAGGGAATGTAATCTTCTTTTTTCCGCGCAGAGAGTCGTTCACGGAAATCCCGAGGCTTTCAGACTACCAGAAGGCTCGAAGTCCATTTGAGAGGCTCAAGGTCAGTTTCGCGACGCCAGTGTTCAGGACGGCCACAGTAGTGGAGGACAGCACAGAAGCAACCTGAGGAACTGGGCCCCGCAGTGTCCAGCGAAAGTCCGTCTTCAGCGCGACCAAGGATCTTTGTATCTTGCGGACTTTCCGCTCACCATATTCCAATAGTGACCTGCCCCTACTAGGATTTCAATGCTCCGTGTGGAATTAAGGAAGGGTGAAAGGGTTACATAGGCTAATTCAAGCTCCCACGCCAGCAAGGTCAACCACGTTGTCGGTAAGGGCCAACTGGTCAAAACAGATGTTTTCTCTTTGAAGGGCTTTCAAGCAGTGTTCTTTGCGGCTGTATTGGCTTCACAACCACAATCAAACTAGCCGACGTTTCCTCGTAGTTCCACCAGCTGTTCTGCCAAACGAATAAATGGTCACTTCCTCCTCGCCAATCACTTCCAAACCCAGCTCTTGCAAGAGCTGCTCGGTGAGGAATGAACGTTGGCTGCCTCCATCAAACAGACAGCGAGCAAGACACTTCCGGTCTCGTCCGTCTACCCATACTTGAGCAGTTAGTGACATTACAGCGTTCTTGTTGATGGCATTCAAAGACGCCACAAAATGGAGCTCGGTACCGCCGGTCGCTCCATGATGAGACGGAGGTGACATACCACAAAGTGGAGCGATGTGGCGTCGGCCACATTTTGCACAGTGAAGGTACCGATTTCGACATTCTTTTGAGGTGTGTCCTCGCTTCGCACATCTGTAACACCTCCCTTCACTCCTTAGCCATCTCTTCTTTTCTTCAATCAGAATTGCAGAGTGACATTGCGGCGCTTCATGTAATTTGGAGGAACAAAGAGGGCACCAGTTGCTTCAGGGCTTGGCACCAACTGCGAAAAAAGCGGCAGACCCCTTTCCTCAAAGGTTGTTGCTTGATCGATCACTTTCACTGAGTATTTTCAGTCATAATGAATGGGTTAAAACAGCGCGAAAAGACGAAGGACCAGTAAAAGGAAACACAAAGACACAGCGCAGACTTACAACTGAATTTTTACCGTACTTCTGCGCCATTCAGCAAGTAAATTTGAAACGAGATAAACATACAAGCAATCGACCCGATAACACATCGTCCCATAAGGCCGATGCCTTTTTGCGCTGCTTTAACCCATTCGATATGACCATCAACCAACTCGCCCAACTTTACACCTTGTTATTTTCAGAGGTAGCGGTTGGTCCCGTATACTGCTGTCGTATACCTTCCCTCTGCTATCCAGCTCTACACGCATCGATTGCAGGACAGCCTCAAGATTTTAGCTTTCTGGTGTCTCATTACTAGTACTCTGACTCTTGTAGAAGTCTACGGCCCAGTCAGCAGGCAGGACGCAGAACAGTGCAGCACACAGCATCGCCCCGCAGCTGTCAGAGTCGATGCCCAAAGTCCTCAGCAAAGCGATGTTGCAATGAATGTGATCGTGTAGACGACGGAGGGCTCCAATGTCACTCAGCGCCTTCACCTTTGGCAGGTTCAGCAACTCATGAGGTGTTCTTGAAAAAGGATGTCTTTCTTGCCGAACCTCTCCTTCAGAAGCTCCACAGCATAAGCGTAGCTGTTCTCTGTTGCTTGAATGCCGCTTACCACCGCCGCCGTTTTGCCCGTCAGCACTGTCCGCAGGTATAAACTGCTCCACGCCGGAAAGCTTGATGTTGTCGTGGATCGCCTGTCGAAACTGCTTGCAGAAGGGAAGCCAATTCAACTTCTCTCCATCAAACCGTTGGAGTTCGAGCTTTGGAAGTTAGAGCTGTCCAGCTCGGCTCTGGGTTTAAGTGGTCGATCGTTCTGTGGTCTCGCGACCCTGCTCTCGATAGATGACGATGACCTTGTTTCTAGGTGTCCAAGACGTGTCCGCATTCAGATGATGGCACTTTGTGTCTCTCCGATGGCCGTGTTCTTCGGCGAGGCTCTCGTTCTTTACGTGGACCTCGATGAGCGCATCTTGCTCCTTAAGCTACCTTGCCAGGGCATCCAACTTGTCTGTTATTTCTGCGAGGCGTTTTTCGTGATGAGGCCTGAAGTCCTCAATTGACACCGCTGCTTGGATCTCCTCGCTTAGACGTTCAATTTCGGCTCGCGTCAAAAACCTTTTCGTCTGGAGCCGCTCCCTGTTCGTTGTTCGCCGATCTCGTATTGTCGCTGAAGTCCAGGGTTTAAGCACCAAAATGGTCAATAATTTAGATTACACCGGTTTACAAAAGAGGTATACAACGTATTTACAATTTAGACATGGGGAGGGCTCTTGAAGGTTGATGTTGTACCGACCAACGGTTCCAACTAGGCTCTGCTCGTGCCAGTAGCCCTTTTTCTTCTTCTGTTCTTAGCACATGCTCCTTGGTCTCTTTTCTTGTGAGGTGTGTAATTGGGCATGTATCCACATTTAGGAAGAAATGCCCTCAATATTTTGATACACATCACTCTGCACTGGCAAATATTGAAGCACATCCGGGACACTCGTCTCATTTAATTGTCTGACCAACTTTGCGCAGCCTAAATATCGCACCCAAACTTTTCTAAACCTGATTTCGTGAAAACCAGCGAGACATGAAAACATTATCCGAAACTGAAACTGTGGAGGAACATGAAAACCGGACTTCGAACTTTACAAACTTGAACTTAAAAAAATTCAAAATCTTTAATTTTTTTTTTTTTTTTTTATTTTAGCTTTAAAAGATGATTGAAACCTTCTAACTTCATGTAGCTAGAAATTCCAAATTTAAAATTTTTTCCAACTTCATGGCTATAAAAATTCGAAACTTTCAATTTTTTTTTTAACTTCAAATTTAAAGAATTTTGAAATCTTCGAACTTTATATTTAAAGAAATTTGAAACCTTCGAATTTTTCAAACTTCAGATCTCAAGATATTCAGAATTTTCGAATCTCTACAATTTCAGATTAGGAAAGTTCGAAATCTTCCAATTTCTCGAACCTCAATTAAAATAATATTCAAAATATTTGAACCCAAACTTTTATAAACCGTGAAAGCTTCAAACTTTTCTAATTTGAAACTCCACGGTGTTCGAAAATTGCAAACTTTTCGATTTCAAACCTTGGTACGGTTTGAAAATATAGAAATCTTTTGAATTCAAACCTCAGTTCGGTTAGAAAATATTGAAACCTTTAAAATTCAAACCAAGGGTGGTTCGCGACATCCCTAATAAATACCCTGTCAATGTCTCTTTAAGACTGTCATATGTCTCTTTAAAGGGGTCATGAAACGCTTTTCCAACCTTTTCCTGTTTAGCTTTCCTCAACTCATAAATCGCCCATTCCACCAAACAGTTAAAGAAGACGAAAAGAAGGGGGCCCCTCTCGCTCCGAATCTGGTTTGTGTAGCCGGACAGAGCCATTGTCCCCCTAGAAAATTAGCCCGTTGCTCAAAATTCAGACAAAAGTTGCTTTCCCCACCCCGTTCATCCCGAAGCTGACAGTGCTGTTGAAGCCACGTGCTCGTTGGGCCAGCCACACTTGCCACGTGAGCGTGGCAAATGTGGCTGCAGAGAATTAAGTCAGGTGATGAAAGAAAGGCGGCTGATTGGTCCGGCAAGCGCGTAGCTTCCACCACAATGTCAGCTTAGGGGTGAAGGGAATAAGTGAGGTCCGGTTGTGTGTGACGTCAGTTTGGACCCGATGACGCGCTTTTGGGACTGCGGACGTATCACAGTGAAAAGGCAGAGAGGTTGCGAAGGGGAGGAGGTACGAAATAGTCCGCTCCGTTTTCAAAATTTCGCACTGAAAGTCGGGCTTTTGACTTTCTACCTTTTTTTTCTTTTGGTCCACTGATTGATGTGCTATTAGTAAAATCCCAATCTAAAATGATTTATCCCAACCCAAAAATCGTTTCATGGGCCCTTTAAAGGGGTTATGACACGCCAAAAATAAAATATGACATAACTATACTGCTAGGACCCATTGTATATTCCTATAATCCTGCTAAATTTGTTTTGAAAAAGGCGCGATAATTTCGTGGATAAATCGATTTATATGCGGGCCCCTCGGAGGGGCAGATCCGGGCGGACCTGGAGGCTGATGACGTAACCAGCCTCCAGCGCGGTGTCTACTTGCACGCACTCACAGACTCGGCTCTCTTGGCATATCAACTCTCAGCTTCCTCGTTTACCTTCCACGTTTCCAGCACCCGGTCTGTGACGATTACGTCTACGGCATTGATCGCCTTGTCGAAGTGTTCGACATTGATCGCAGCAGCGATGAGAGTAATTGCTATCAAGAGATGTTGGAAGCTGTTCATTTTGACTGCGACCCGCTGGCGACGAGCTCCAGCGACGACGAGTTCGCCGTGGTCACCGTCGTCCGGGAATATCTCGCAGGCGCATGCAGGGTGGAAGGTCAACCGGCCGGGGGCGAGAGCGAGAATAGCTTTCAGTTTACCGAGCTGTTTGAGCGGTTTTGTTTGTACCGCGACGAGAAGAGCTTGGGCGATCATGGGGGCGCCTTGAATGAGAGAGTGTTCATGGTCACGTGGTTTATGGGCACCATGGTGTGACTAACTTCAGCAGTGTTGCCTGGTCGCCAAATGAAAATGATAAAAATTCGTAAATTGAATATTGCAATTATCAGAGCTCTAAAAATTGCGTAACTTGGTGTATATACTAAGTAGCCTATGAGCATTCCATTTCAAGAATAATCTATCCGTTTAATTTTCGTGTCATAACCCCTTTAAGACTGTCATATAAAATGCACTTTAGTAACAAACAGGATATGGTTTCCATCAGATTTATTTATTTATTTACAAGTACAGCAGTTCTAGTCTTTCCCTGCCCAAGCAGGGAAGGATTAGAACAGGTATGTGCTATAACAGGAGATCGTAGAGTGATCCCCAAACACGTGCAAGGAAAGGCAGACTCACCTTCCCCAGGTTTCCTCCTGCCACACGTTGAAGTCGAACAGCGACACATCTGGTGGGCTTGTCTCTTCATTCTCGGCCTAAATGTCATAAATACAAAGTGGCCACCAATTTACCTTTTGAGCGGCTGGTCACAATTTTGTTTTCTTAGAGGGATTGTTCGGCCAACTTTTGAGTTCAAGAAAACAATTAAATATCATTGTTGATGCCTCAAAATGCATTGTCCGTGCAATATCTGATTTCTATATGCCCCTTTGCATGAGTAATTGAATTTTAAACTGCTCCAATCGCATCCTGGCATAAACGGTGCTTTTGTAGGCAACATTGAAGCTCCGATGTCCCATAACGCAATGCGAGCATTTCCGCATCGTTGACTGCGAGTGAATGCTGCAGCATGCTTAGTTTTTGTTGTTGTGCTCGACTTGTTTCGCGGATAGACGAGACTTTTGTTGAGAGGTTAAGTGCCACAACTACTGGGCAGCACCTGTGATCCACGAGAAGTGTAGCGACGACCCGTGCGTAGGAAGCAATGGGTTCCTGTCAAGAATGAGACCCCGCTTATGCAGCAATCGTTTCACAGAAGGAAACTTCCAGCTGAGCTCTAAGTGGACAGAAGGCTCGTAAGCCGATGTATGATGCCGTGCCAATGATATTAAACTACGTCCACCCACTCATTGGATTAAACGGTTTGATTAGGCAGCAAAACCAGAACCAACAGCTAGGTCATCTTGAAACAATGCCAAAAGTTATATTTAACACATGCGCAGCCAGATTCACCAGGCTCATCCGAGTCGGGTGAGGACCTAGAAAGGTTACATGCATTTTGAACGATTCGTTGTTTGCCTTCGACAGGCAGTCATCGCCTCAGAGGGAACGACCCGCCGCCGCATCACCGATCCATCAATATGTGGGGCCAGATGTCGCTTCGTAGACCCAAATGCTGCTGCAGAGGCAAAATCTGCATCCTTTTCTTTGCAAGCGCTCTTTATCTGATTGGTGGCCGTCGCAGTTGTGCATGCGTAAAACGGTACATGTTTGCTCGCTAATGGCCGTATTTGAGTAATATCCTGCTAAAAGGTGCAACTTTTTTGCACACGCTTGGGACCTGCATTACAAGAATCATATCTCAGTAGGGTAAAACCTAGGAGACTGTATAATTTTAAACAAAATACGAGAAATCCATCGACCGATGCTTGTTATCCCTACCAATCGACGATCCTCTGCGTTATGTGGCGTCGCGCAGCAGCTATACGGATGTCAGCCACTCACACTGGCACAATTCAGGGTATAACTTCGTACATGCACTCATGAAAAGTTTAATTAATATTGGGCCATCATATATCAAAATAAAAATGACGTTTGTCTATTTGAAGGCTTCCTCGACGTAACAAGCACAAGAACTTAAGTACTTTCAGTTTCAACCGGACAATCCCTTTAAGTAAACTGCCCTAGTACAGTTGGATGAATTTACTGTAAAAAAATTTGTGACCGTTACATGGGCCAAGTATTTATAGGTGGAAGCTACCATTCCCTCGAAGTGACCCCACAAAATACCCTGCCATTCAAAAACGGCATGGAATATGCTGATGAGGAGATCCCGGGAACCATATGAAGACACCGAAAAGTTTTTCTGCACGAAGTGGGATTGTTAATTCGAATATTCTAATGAAACAATCTATTGAAGTGACAGCCACGAGGCGTGACAATTTGAAATTGGCAACTGAGTGAGGCTGTGACATGGATGACAATCATGGGTGGTGATAACAGCATCCAAGTAATTTTGAAAATGCACTAGATGCATATATCTAGTGCATGGGGGTGACAACTATGGCTTGCCGAGTGTGCGGTCATGTATCACTACTGCATGGTGCATAGGAGGCTAGCGGTTGTACTGCACTCGCTAAATTGCTCATCTACAATTGAGATACCAAACGCCCACTGGGGCTGACTAACTTCCGGTTGTATAAACATACTGTAACGTTGCAAACGAAACTAAAATAAATGGTTGACTGACGGGCCGACAGATGGAGCCAGAAGGTTATCTAATCTATGCGCGCGCTCTCTCCCTCTCTCACGAGGAAAAGCGGGACGCGTCTTCCCCAAAAACTTCTGGCCTTGGAAGGATATAAAAAGAGCCGCCCAGGCATACTCGGGGGGGGTTGTTCGTTCCTCGCGACAGCCGGAGATTGCGTCTTGACCCAAACCTGACCTCTCCCGGCTGAAGCGTTCGGCAAGCTCTGTCGGCCCGCGCTAGAGCAGCCTTAAAAGTTACTCCTCGTCTGCTGTCGTTAATTTTGCGTGCGACAAATTGGTGGAGGTGCGGGGTACTCGTCAAGATGCAAGACGACTCACGCCGATCCCGAGGACGTCAACGTCGCGATCGCTGAGCACGCCTGCAGAAACAGCAATCCGCCAGGTCAAGCGAAGAAGGAGGCCGCATCGACCCGAACAAGAAATGGCAGGACGAGGATGAGCAAGTAGCTCGGAACATCCATCAAAGGTTCGCGAGGCTCTTCGAACTTGCCAAGCGCTGCTGAAAGGATAGGGAGGAAGGCGACGTTCGCGAGTAACTACTCTCTACGGAGTAGGCTCGTATCCGACAACATGAGCACCGAGGACCAGCAGCCACAGGTGGAGAGGTTCATGCGGCCATACGGTCCCCCGCCGCATTTCAAGGGGAGACCGGACGAGGACTTGGAAGATTGGATGCTGCTGTACGAACGCTACGCCACAGCATTGTCATGGACAGAGGCGCAAAAAGCAAACAACCTGGTCTTTGCGCTGGAGGACGAGGCTCGGCACTGGTTCTCCACGGCTCTCCGAGAAGCGACAGCTGAGGCCCCTCTGACAACCTGGGAGCAGTGACAGCAAGCCCTCCGTCGGGACTTCACCGGAGAGCACGTGAGAGAGTGGGCCTTCATGCAACTGCAAGAGCGTCGCCAACAGCTGAACGAGACACTTCAGCACTACGTTTCAAGCATACTTCAGCTGTGCGCACGGGCAAGCCCGACGATGGCTGACACAGAAAAAGTTTGGTGTCTCCTGCGTGGACCGAGACCGGAAATTATGGAGAGGGTTGCAATCTCCAATCCGCACACCCCGGCCGACTTCCTGCAACATCTCCAAAGACTCACCCACGTCGGTGCAATGGCACGCCAAGCGCTGTTGACGATGCCAACACACGAACTTCCCGGGTTTGCGGCGCCTTCTCCATTCTCCTGTCCACGGCCCACAACGCAGGCGAGTACACCCGCGGCGGACGCCGGACTTCGCCCGAACCCCTCTGACGCCTTCCACGTCCAGGGACCAGGGGCACCGCAGATAAGTGAGAACACTACGGCCATTCTCGGCGCTCTTCAAGACAGTGTCCGTGCTCTCACGATGGCCGTAGAGCAACTCGGACGAACACGCCAGCGCTTCCCGCCGCGTCTCTTAAGAAACCAGAGCGGTAACGTCGTTTGCTTCAAGTGCCACCGCCCTGGCCACATCCAGCGCCAGTGTCCTGAGATCGTACCTCGACCGACTGAGAACAGCAGGGATAATTTCGACCGCGACTCTGCCACTGCCCGACTCAACAGTTTCTCAGCCCAGCAGGGAAACTGAGAAGTAGGGGTCCAAAAGCCTCACCCCTAAACCACCAAGGAGGCTCCATATGTGCAGCATACTCGGCATCACACCTCATCACACTACCGGCGACGATCGACGGCGGAGACGTCGAGGTGATTGTGGACACCGGAGCCATGGCAAACATTGTGTCCGGAAAGTTTGCAGCTCGCCTGAAAAAGGCGACCCAGCCAACCAAGTCGACGCTAAGAAGTGTGAGTGGAGAGCTGTTGAGTAGCTGTGGTGAAATGGTGTTGGAGATCGTGATAGGACCAGTGCACGTCCGCACCGAGTTTGTTGTGCTCGAGGAGTTTCCATACGACATCCTGTGCAAACTTCCGTTTTGTGCGACCGCACAAATGGTGATAGATGTCCCGGGGAAGAACATCGTACTCCAGGGACATGCACTCCGGCTGAACCTTGAAAGCCCGCTCGTCGCCGCCCCACCGTCTGCACATCGGGCCTACTGCATGGAGACGACCACTATACCAGCCTGCAGCGAGGTCTTGCTGCCGGTTACCATCACCGGCCAAGGGGCGTTTCTCATCGAGCCACTCCCGGAGACGTCCCTGACCCGGCCAAGCGCTGCAAGAACATTAACTGAGGTCAGTGCCAATGTTGGATATGCACGTGTTGCCAACCCGTCTTCGTCACCCATAACGATAACCAGGAGAACTGCGGTGGGGCGCACAACGTCCCTATTCGCCGTACAGCTTGCCACGACCCCTCCACAAAATAGCTGACGGCAGTATATCCGAAGTTGATGTGGCGGCTAATTTGGGTTGCGCGGAGAGGAATCGAGTCCACTCACTGTTGAATGAGTACGCACATCTGTTCTCAGAAAAGGGGTGTCTGGGTCGCACTCATCTAGTCGAGCATGAAATTGATACGGAAAACGCGAGACCTGTGCGCCAGAATCCGTACCGAAACTCGACGTACGAGCGACAGGTCTTTCGCGAGCAAGTCAGCGACATGCTACAAAGGGACGTGATTCGAGAGTCGACCGGCCCGTGGTCGTCGCCAGTTGTCCTGGTGCGCAAGCGTGACGGGTCCTGGCGATTCTGTGTGGACTACCGGAAAGTAAATGCGGTAACCAAGAGGGATGTGCACCGAATCCCGCGTGTGGATGACATTTTGGACATGCTTCAGGGGTCACGGTTCTTCACGACATTGGACTTGGCGTCCGGGTATTGGCAAATCCCTGTTCGAGAGAAAGACAAGGAGAAAACGGCGTTCACCATGGGGGCTGGCTTGTATGAGTTTAACGTCTTACCATTCGGTATGTGCAACGCACCCGCAACCTTCCAGCGCATGATTAATAAGGTGCTTGCCAGCCAGCTATGGAAGGTGTGCTTGGCTTACTTGGACGACATAATCGTGTTTTCTCGGACTGTAGACGACCACCTGCAAGACCTCAGGGGCATCTTCGAGGCGCTCAGCAAGGCGGGCCTGCGACTTCAGCCCAAGAAATGCAAAG